CCGGTACCGGCCCTTCCCCTCCGTCCTGCGTGAGATTTGCTGATTTCAGGGAAAAAACAAACCAAAACAAACCAAAACAACAACAACAAAACCACCAAATCCTGGGAAAGTCGGCCCGGAAAGGAATTGCAAAATCCCCGGGGGCCGGGATCACCGGGAGGTTGGGCTGGGTTCGAGGTCGGTTCCTCGGCGCTTTCCCGGCACCCACACTTTTTTTTTAGAGGAAATCGGGGGGATTTTACCCACAGGAGACCCGAGAAAAGTCGCTTTGGATTTATTTCCTCGTTGGCAACCAGATCTTTTCCTCCCAGAAAGTGAAACCTCGGGATCAGCGTCCCACCGAGACAGACCCTGCGTGGACATGGCAGCGCCCGGCTCTCCCTCCTGCTCCAACCAAGCTTTCTATCCCGTAGGAACGAGAGAAACGCCACTGGCTTGACCAAGGAATGTTGTTTTTAACCGGGGTGCTGGGATCGGGGGGGTCACTTGGACGTACGGACCTCGGCGTCGCCTCGTAGGGCATTTCTCCTCCACCTTTATTTTTTTGTTTTCATTTCCAAACCTTTTCCCCCGGCGCGGGGCCACTCGCCGGTTTTTCGGCTGCGGGGATTTGCCTTGCTCCGTGTGCGTGTGTGTGTGTATTCCCCCGCCCCACGCCCCGGCACCGGCCATGGCGTTGAAAGCCAGAGCTCTTTACAACTTCCAGAGCGAAAACAGAGAGGAGATCAGCATCCAGGAGAACGAGGAGCTCGTCATCTTCAGCGAGAACTCCCTGGACGGTTGGTTACAAGGCCAAAACAGTCGTGGGGAGACCGGCCTCTTCCCTGCTTCCTATGTCGAAATCCTCCGCTCCCGCTCGGGTTCCAGCTACACGGACTATTCCAGCAGCCCGGCCGGTTCTCCTGGCCACAACTTCTCCTTCTCTGCAGCTCCCCCTGACCCCGGTATCTCTTACCAGGGTAGTTTTGAAGATGATGATGATGATGACTGGGACGATTGGGATGATGCTTGCACAGTGGTGGAGGAGCCCCAGAGCGCACCGGGCACCAACGGGCACCCGTCGCCCAACCTGCAGTACCCGGCGGCGTACGGTCACCCCCAGCACGCTGGTTACCATACCAAGCCA